TCTTTTCTGCCTCGGTCCCACCAACATAAAGGCCTTCAAGTATTTGGAATCTTAAAAGTAAAACCTTCAGAAAGCCTATTTCAACAGAAATCTTAAACTCCTGTGTTACAGCGTGGGAAGTGCTCAGACGCCGGCCGCAGAGCGCCCCCTGGCGCGGGTGCGCGGGGCTGTCTTCAAAGGGCTGTTGCCCAGAGGAGGTTCACACGGTGCTGACGTCGCAGCCACCTTGCCCAGGGGCCTTACTTACACCAGTGGGAGAGTAGGGGAGAGATTCCTAGCGATGGAAGGTCTCCAAAGAACTCACAATGTGCCCCCTGAGAGAAGGGGAGCTTTAAATGCCATTTAAGCCCAGAGGGAGCGGTGCCACTATAATATAATAAGAAATATGTATCTGGTCTCTGTCCTCCAGTTCCTGGAACAGAGCTTCTAAAACCCTTGCAATTTCTAAAGTGATGGGGTGATAGGAGCATCTTTTATTACAGGATTTGGTCTCAGCCCCTGGTTCCTGGCCCAGGAGCTTCTAAGCCCCTCGGAATCTCCAGAGTATTTAGAGCCCCTGTTTGTGTGCTGACGAGGTGACCGGTGGCTGGAGGCACGAGACAGCGCCAGGGTAGGGCTGGTTGCTGGACAGACCAAGGCATGATCAGAGGGTTGGAACTCTCGGTCCCACCCCTCAACCCCTGGAACCTCCACAAAAACCCTAAATGAAGGGGTTGGAGAACTCCCTGGTTGGGAAACGCACCCACATGCCTGGAGGGCACTGCGCCCAAACCACGCAGGAACAGAATTTATGCATACGTATTTCTTTTATAATTGTCATTTTATTTCTAAATCTTAAAAACATTTACTGCTATCTCGTTTTACTCTCTCATTTTTACCTGTATCCTGTTCTATATTTTCAACTGTCCTTCTCTCTGTAATCCCTGTAATTTTGCTTTTACTTTTCTCATGGTTCCATTATAGTACTATCTCCCTGGTCACCCCCCACTGCCCAGTTTGTTAACTCTGCTAGTTATGTTTCATCTTTTCCTAATTTTTCCTCTGTCTCTACCCAGAGATCTTTCATCTCTGCATTGTGCTCTTGTTACATAAGGGCAATTGTTGAAGTTTTGAATATACGAGGTTTGGTGACCATATTTATATGCTTCTGGGCCAACAGTTTCTGGTAAGGGTATATATCTATTTGTTTTGCTTGTTTCTTTTTTTGTGTGGTACCTTTCAATAGCGCCTGTTTTGCTTTTTGATTACTCATCTTTGAAAGTGGTTAAGTTGGGGAAGGGTCAAGACTATTTCCTAAACTAGGTGGAATTTTCCTCATCTAGCATTTTTTTGTGTGTGTGAGTTTGTGTAAACTGTAATTTTCCCAAGTCAAAGTAAGTGGGCAGCTGGTGAACTTTTCACTACCATTTCTCCTTTCATTCCAGAAGCTGTTTCTTTCTTACAAATAGAGCTTACCTGAGGAGCGCTCTCATCTCTGCTGCTGAGAGCCATGTCTAGTCCAGTGGTGCTTACCGGTGTACCCTGCTCTTTCTTTGCAAAAAGAGGACTTCACTTTTGCAGCTCACTGTGTCCTTCAGCTTCCAGAAGTGGGCCATGGTGGCTAGTTCAGAGCTCTGCCTCTGCTCCCCATTCCACTTCTTCAAACATGTGCCTTTACTTGATCTCTACTGCTTTTAGCAGTCCTTTTATGTATGCTTGAAGTTTGGGGTTTTATCTGTACTCTGGTTTCACTGAGGGTCAAGTTTGTGTTTTTGTTTTTTTTCTTTCAAAGTGTTTCTCAAAATGCCGTTCTCAGACTATGCGCATTGTAACCACTTTGGAGTGTTTATTAAAAATTCAGATTCCCAAGGTTCTTTTCAAGGTTTGCAAAATCAAAGCTGCTTGAGCTGCCTTCCAAGATTGAAAATTTTTAATAAGTACCCATTATAATTTTTATATACATAGAAGTTGACAGCCACTATTTCAGTGCATGAGTTTTAAAGAGGTATCTTTCTTCATCTAATATGGTTTGCAACAAATTTGTTCCCTAATTCATTTCTTAATGTAATTTCTGCACCACTGTCTTCATATTGCTCTCTGCAGTATAGAACTAAGGTTATACATGTGATTATTTTCTGCCATCCAAGTACTAACCAGGCCCTACTCTGCTTAGCTTCTGAGATCAGATGAGATCGGGCACATTCAGGATGGTGTGGCTGTAGACATGTTTTCTTATTTATTTTCCAAGTCTATAAAAATCCACAGGGGCTTCTATTCACTTTGAGGTATTCATGTAAAATGCACACTTTTTACTTCTAACCATTGTCTAAAATTCAGAAAGTTTTTCCATCTTCTTGATTTGTTTCAATCCCCAGTGAGTGATGACTTCTAATATAAATATTGGCAGCTGTTAGAGCTATATAACATATACAAGTCTCTGGAGCACCCCTTAAAGAACTTGTAAGATTTACTTAGTAGGTATAGCAGGTCTTAATTCTCTCAAGATAAACCTCTGGTGGCCAGCTTTCTCGAGCTGCGAAAATGGAGATGCCGTATTGAGACTGGAAGGGGAATCTGTAACTGTCCTTCATCTCCTGCCCACCACTCCAAATATGGCAGCAAGGACTGGGAATTTCAAAAGTAAAGAAGGTGGCATTTTGTATTTCAGATGTCTTGATTTTTGTCACACTCAGTTTCCTATGAGCTAATCCCTTTCATGTTGTTTAGAGGTTGACTTCAAAATGATAACTAATTAAAAGTAGAAAATTTAGCATCTTTTGAACATGAGTACTACTTTAGAGATGAGAGGTAGATGCCCTAGATTTATTTTAAAGTGATTTACTTTTAACTCTTTGGCCTAATTGAGCATCATAGTTGGTTACTAGTAAATATAGCTCATAGGTATTTTTCTAAAAAGATATATCTTAATTTTCTTTCTGGATCTAACAATCAAAAGTGCTGTGTTTTTCTCTGTCCTTAGGGTGTTTTCCCTGTGATCATTAGTATGATCCGAATATTAACTCAAAAAACATTTAGAGGTCTTTGGAAGGATATGTATAGGTTTAAATCTTAGATACCAGAACTCGATGCTACCAAGGTTATAGCGTATTAAAAAGCATTTAATTAAGTCTTCCTCCAAGTGGCTGTCAGGTTTTGACGCCCTAGGCTGACTATTTTGACTCTCAGTGAAAATAGCCACAGAGTATCTCCAGCTCAGCCGAGGCATTTGCTGGTGGGAAGGACACCGCAGGGCGAGCTCCACAGATGGAGCCACCTCCCCAGAGCAGCTTTGGAGTGGCATTTGTGGAAGGGAAATGTTGCTACTATTGTCAGCAACTCTTGGACAACAGTTCAACCTGATTTTTTATAATGTTTAGGCTAAAACATAGAATTTTATATGAAAACATTTAGGGCAACCATGCCTTGGGCCAAGAAAAGCAATATACTGTGCAATATATGGTTCCTTTTGCTCGTGGCAGTGAGGGTTAACATTCAGAGTAGTCGTGATTGGAATTGTTCAGTTATGCACAAACCGTAAAAGGTGGGTAAGAAGGGTGCTAACATTTAGAGTGCCAGCTGTGTCCCATAAGAGTCTTTTTCTATTTCGTTGTGTTCCATCTTTGCAATAATCATTTGTTACTATTTATGTTTAAGTGACATCAGAACGGAGACAGGCATTAAGTTGCCAAAGATCAGTTAGGTTGTAAGTGGCTGAATTGGGGTTTGAATCCAGGAAGGACTAGCTACAAGGACACCTTATAAATACTACATAAAGGTGGTGTCCTTTCATCACCTTTCTGCTTCCTCACAAAAATATTTTGGACCAACTTGAAAATGTATCAAAGTGCATTGAACCTTTTGCAGCAATCTGCATATTGGTCATCTTTGTTATTTCTTTGGCACGGATCATATATAATCTGCATAATCAATACATGTACATTTCTAGGGAATAATGTTTGGCAGAATTCTTACTCAGGGAGCAGTAGGAAAATTCTGGTCTTTGTATTCAGAAAGAATATCAAGGGAGCTGTGTGCCCTTGAGCAAGTTACTTTCTGAACCCATGTTCTCTTCTGTAAAAAGACCGTGATAATAATAGCAACTTTATAAGATTGTAGAATGAATTGGAACCAACATTTAGTTTGGTGCAAAAGTAATTGCGGTTTGGGACCGTGAATTTTAAATCATTATAATAACTAGGCTCAAACACATCTTTATGAACCAAAATAGGAACCATTACAATCAACACATTTTTGCCCATGAGAAATAAGTTTGTTTATTCCTGTAGCATAAAAATCTGTGGTTCAGGATTCAACAAACTCTTGGAAGCATGTTCTGCATCCTGCTGGTTGTGGAAGCATTTTCCTTGCAAAAAGTTGTGAAGAAGCTTGAAGGAGTGGTAGTGGGTTGGCAAGAGGTCAGGTGAATATGGTGGATGAGGCAAAATTTTGTAGCCCAATTTGTTCAACTTTTGAAGTGTTAGTTGTGCAAAGTGCAGTTGGGTGTTGTCGTAGAGAGTTGGGCCCTTTCTGGTGACCAACAACTGCTGCAGAGGTTGCAGTTTTCGGTGCATCTCATCGATTTGCTGGGCAGACTTCTCAGATGTTGATCCGCTTTTCATTGCACATCATAATCTGATTGTAAATGTTCACTGTTGTGTATGAGAAGAGAAGAGAACACTTCAAAACGCTGATTTTTTTGGTTTTCTGTCAGCTCATAAGGCACCCACTTATTGAGCTTTTCCACCTTTCCAATTTGCTTCAAATGCCGAGCGACTGTAGAATGGTTGATGTTGAGTTCTTCGGCAACTTCTCGTGTAGTTGTAAGAGGGTCAGCTTTGATGGCTCCTGCTTTGATGGCCGGCCCCTGCTCTCCTCATCTTCAAGGCTGCCGTCTCCTTTGCAGACTTCTTGAACCTCCACTGCACAACTGTACTTTCGTTAGCAGTTCCTGGGCCAAATGCATTGTTGATGTTGTGAGTTGTCTCCGCTGCAACCCATTTTGAACTCGAATAAGAAAATCGCTTGAATTTGCTTGTCTAACATCATTTCCATAGTCTAAAATAAACAAAATAAATGGCAAGTGATAAGTCATTAGCAAAAAAACATAAAGTGAGAAATGTGCATTAAAATGATGTGTAACATAACCACATTTATTTAAGAATGTATTCCAATATGAAAAGGGCAAATGTCAACAATGCTAAACTACAATTACCTTTGCTCCAGCCCATATATAGCTGTAAAAGGCTTAGAACAGTATGTGGTGTATAGCAGGAGCTAAAAAAAAGTGGGAGCAGCTGTTACTATTGACATGCATGAGCACCCATTTGCTGAACACTATGCTGCTATGCTCATTATGAGCAATGATTGAGCTAAGTTTGTTTACTCCTGTGCTCATACTATAATTATTCTCAGATAATCATGCCAATTGGATATGGTAATGACAATTCAAATATTCTTTAGTTGTATGGTCAGTCAAAATGTTAATACAAAAATTTAGTTGGCTGTATATGTTTATATATTTTCTGTAAGAATTCAAATAATTTGAATTCTGCTCAGTTTCATGAACAGATTGATTTATTAAAATTAAATCTAACCATTTCAAGCCCATTTCAAACACAAAAGTAATATTAATGTAAAAAATACTCATCAGCAGCGGAGCAAGATGGCGGACGAATAACACCGCCAGACAGAGGGTCTCTGCAGAAAAGACCGATTCTAGCAGAAACTAGAGGAAAGAAGCAAGAAGACGAGCATACAGCGGACAAGGGCCGGAAGGAGGGGTACCTAAGACCCTGGGAGACTCCACGGGAGGAGGCTGCGGAGGAGAACTGGAGGCTGAGACCACTGGAGCAGCCCGGAGACCAGCGGAAGGGTAGGTGGATTCGCTGTTTCCCTCCCTGCATTCGGGACTGCTGGTGGGCTCCCCAGCGGGTGGAGAGACCTGCGGACACCAGCCCAGAGATCGCCGCCGCCTGCCAACGGTGAGCCTGTAGCAGACGTGGCACCAGGTTCCCAAACTTCCTCGGGCACCTCCTGTGCCGGACCCGAGCCGCGCGGCAGGCGCCATATTTCCTCTCCCCTCCGCCGACCTACCACGCTGCCCAGAGAGACAATACAGCCACCAGCCGGAGCACCTCCAGGGAACGGGACCTTCCGTTTGGACCGCCCCCTCGCCAGGGCTGCTGCACGTGTTCCAGGAAAACGGTGCGACTCAGAGGCTGGAGAGACATAGACACCAGCTTGGGCTCCCTGTGGTGAATTAGGACCGGAAATCCTCTCCTGGTGGGAAACAGTTTGAACTCTGGACCCAGAGGTCGGACCTGCAGACCAGATCCCCGCACGAGGCTAGCATTGCCCAGGGCACAGAAGGGTTATACGTGACAGCCAACTGAGGTCTGTGTGCCCCAGGGGCGATCGGCGTCCTAGAGGGCAACCCTCCTCCCAGGAGGAGGCCGTGCGCCCAACCCAGGTGGCGTTCCTGTGCAGGAACTCCCGCCGGCATCACAGTCCGGGGGCCTGGTAGCTTGTGGTCTGGCCTGCTGGCAGAGGCCCAGGATACTGCGGAGTTGGGGAGGGTTGAAAGAAGCCGAGCCTGCTGCAGACTGCGGGTCTCAGACAGCCCCACCCCACACCCAGACTTTCTGGCTGAGCGGGACCATTCAGCCCCGCCTGACAGCAAAGAACAGAACTTTGACCCCTGCTAACGGCCTGAGGGCAGGCTTACCCAACCAGCTCCGCCAGAACGAGAGCTGATACAGGAACTCAAAATCAACACCATAGCTGTTCCTCCAAGCAACGCCACTACTGACAGGGACGGCATCCTTGCACAGCTTTCCACGGCACCCCAATGACTCAATATACAGGGAGTGGTCCAATTTCACCCACAGCACCACCTAACGCTCAGAAACTAACAAGGTTGTGTAATACCCAAACAAAACCTAAGGAAGAAACAACAACTGATCGCATGGGGAGAAATCAGCGAAAGAACTCAGGAAATATGAAGAACCAAACGGAAAACACACCCCCAAAGAGGAGCACCAGCCCCTAGAAACGGACACCGACCAAAATCAGCACCAATATGACAGAAGAGGAATTCGTATGTGGAACATAAGAACACTCACCGAGCTGCAACAACCATCAACAACCAGCACCAAGAACCACCAAAAAATCTCCAGGATAGTGAAAAAGAAATAGACACATTGAAGAAAAGTGTAACCGAAATCCTGAAATGAGAACATAAAATTTAACAAAATACAGTGGAAGTCTCAAGAACAGGGTAACGATGAAGCAGAAGAAAGATTCAGAGCTTGAAGATAACACCCTCCAATTAAATAAATCAGTCACAGAAATAGAGCAGAGAAACAAGAGAAAGAGCAAAGCCCTACAAGAGCTGTGGGATTATGTAAGACAACCTAATTGAGGGTCATAGGGTTACAGAGGGAGAGACAACCAGTTCACGGGTTGGACAAGCTGTTTAAGATATACATAGAGATTTCAGGCTTGCTCAAAATCTTTGAATATCCAGTTCAAGAGCTCCAGAGACCCTGGGAGATTTCAACGCAAACAGGAAGCACGTCACGGACATGCAGTCACATCAGACTAACAAAGTATCAATAAGAGGCCTTCTAAGAGCTGTAAGACAAAAGTAAGCCAAGTCTACCAAGGAAAGCCAATTCGAATAACATCAACTTTTCTTAATGAACTTTACGAAGCAAGGAGAGCTGGGCGCCCATTCTCACTTCTTTGAACAAAACATCGCCCAGCCAGAATCATTAATTCCTGCAAACTAAGCCTCGATATGAAGGAAATTAAAAATTCTAGAACACAACAAAGCTAAGAATTCACCAAGCAAAGACAGCTACAAGAAGTACTTAACAACAGCGTTATGCACGGAAACATCATAATAATATACCCACGATATAAACAACACAAAACCCAAAGATATTAAAGGCAGATATTACCCAATGGCTCAAGACAGAAATCATAGGAACAACACCAACCCAACAGAATGATCAGTATCCTACCTTACCATCGTTCTCAAAATGTGAATGGCTTAAACTCTTCTACTCAAGAGACATACGGCCTGGCTTGAATGATAGAAATACAGGCCATTTCTGTCTTCCAGGAAACACATCTAACCTGCAAGGATGCAATAGACTAAAAATAAAAGGGTGAGATCAATATTCAGCAAATAGAAGCACAAAGAAGGCTGTGGTGGCAGTTATACTTTTCCAGACCGATTTAGTTTTTAAACAAAAAAGTAGTAAAAGACAAAAGGGTCAATTATATATGGTGAAGGGCACGTCCAACAGAAAGAGTAACATTTTAAATATATATGCACAACTTAGGTGCCAGATTCATAATGCAAACCTACTGGAGCTAAGCAAATGGATTAATAGCACTCCATAATCGCCGGAGATTCAACACCACCACTGACGGCACGAGACAGTTCCTCCAAACAGAAAATTAATAAAGAAATAATGGAAAACCTTAAACAAACTCTAAACATTGGGTTCCTGACACAGACATCTACAGAACATTCTACCCAAAATCACTGAATAACTTCTTCTCATCAGCTACGGGATTCTCTAAGATTGACCTATCTCTAGGACACAAGAACTAGAAATTTAAAAAAATAGAATCATACCATGTACTTCTAAGATCACAGTGGAATAAATAGAAATCAACCCTACAGAAACTCACATTTACACAAAACGTGAAATTAACAACGCTCCTACTAAATGATTACTTCGTAAATGAAGAAATCAAGACGGAAATAAAAACTTCTATGAGAAAACGACAATGGAGAGACAGTTATCACTCCTCTGGGACACAGCTAAAGCAGTTCTGAGAGGAAAGTTCTCCATAATGCCTATAACCAAAAGACAAAGATCCAATAGACACATTAATGAAACGACTCAAAGAGCTGGAAAGAGAACAGACAAACCCAAACCAGCAGAAGAAGTGAAATCAACAAGATCAATCAAACTAAACGAAATGAAAACAGGAGAGCTATCAGGAGATTATAAAACAAAAGTTGGTTTTTGAAATAAACAAAATTGACACACCATTGGCTAAGCTAACGAAAACAGAAAAGAGAAATCTCTAATAAGCTCCATCAGGAATAAAAAGGAGATATCAAACTGATCAAAGGAATACAATACAATTTTATGAATACTACAAAAATCTTTATGCACAGACAACTGGAAATTGGAGGAATGGACAAATTTCTAGAAACACACAGCTCCCTAGGCTCAACCAGGAAGAAATAAATTCCCTGAACAGACCAATCTCAACAGCTGAAATAGAAACAGCAATTAAAATCTCCCTAAAAGAAAAGTCCAGTCCAGATGGCTTCACACGCGAATTTTACCATACTTACAGAAGGAACTAGTACCTATCTTGCAGAAACTATTCCACAACATCGAGAAGAACGGAAACCTCCCCGACACCTTTTATGAAGCGAATATTACTCTGATACCAAAACCAGGAAAGGATGCACAAAAAAGAATACAGACAATATCCTAATGAATATAGACTGCAATTTTTCAAAAAATCTTAGCTAACAGAATCCAGACACTTATCAAAAAAATACCACAGACCAAGTGGGCTTCATCCCAGGGATGCAGGGATGTTCCAACATACGTAATCTATAAATGCAATTCACCACATAAACAAAGCAAAAACAAAGACCACATGATTCTTTCAATAGATGCAAGAAAAAGCTTTTGACAAATTCAACACCCTTTCATGATACGAACACTATAGAAAATAGGCATAGAAGGGACATACCTAAAATGATACAAGCCATATATGACAGCCCATAGCCAACATCATACTGAATCGGGAAGATTGAAATCATTCCCACTTAGAACTGGAACCAGACAAGGCTGCCCACTATCTCCACTTCTGTTCAAATAGTGCTGGAAGTCTTGGCTACAGCAATCGACAGGAAACATGGAATCAAAGGTATCCAAATTAGGGCAGAAGGAATCAAAACTTCGACTGGTTTGCGATGATGCATGATATTGGTAGTCTAGAAAACCCCAAGGATT